AATATCATGTATTCTCACTTGTGAAACAGAAATTTCCAAATTTACCAGTGGAAGTGCTATGATTATTAGTATGTGTTGAATTTTGACAGTATAATAAATTCTGGTTACTGTGAGGGCAGTGATGGTTCAGTGGTAAAGTTCTCCACCCACAACCCCCAGACTGGATATCTGCTCTGTTCTCAGCCAGTGAGCTCCAAGTACAGCCATGCTTGTGTGTTGTGATGATGCTGAAGCAGTGGCATCTGAGCTTCCAGACTAAGGCAGTGTAGGAAGAAAGGTCTAGCAATCTCCGTCTGAAACGTCAGCCAGCAAAAATCATATAGATCACAAAGGTTCAATTCAATTGCAAATGGGATTTCTGTGAGTTAGGGACTGCCTTGATAGCAGCTAACAACAACAACAACATTATGGTTAAATAGTCATGTCATTAAACAAGATTTAGAATATATGCTCTATCCATTTTCAACTCAGATTACTGTCAATCAAGCATAAAAATAATTGAAGAAAGACTATAGAAGAATTAATGCATTTGAATTATGTTGAAGACTATTGAATGTCATGGACTGCCAGAAAAACAAACAAATCTGTCTTGGAAAAGGTACAGCCAAATGCTCCTTGGAAGCAAGGATGATGAGACTTTGGACATGTCAGATGGTGAGACTTTGGACATGTCAGGAGGGACCGGTCCCTGGAAAAGGATTGCAAAGTTGGTAAAGTGGAGGCTCAACAGAAAAGAGGGAAACTTCCAACAAGATGGATTGACACAGTAGCTGCAACAATGAACTTAAACATAAGAACAATTATGAGAACAATGCAGGTCCTGGCAGCATTTCTTTTTGTTGTGTATATAGACTTGATGTGAAGCAGAACCAACTTGATGGCACCTAACAACAACAACAAAGAGAATTTTGTACTTTATCGATATATGAATCAGAAGTTAAAACAATAAATTATTGGGATTTGTTTATATTGGCCATATTTTCCTCAGAGAACATAAAAATATACAAATTCCATTGATGTAAACTTAACTCTGCCAGATCACACTAGGAATGTTACATTCTACTTTTAAAAGATAATTTATGAATTTTAAGTTGACTGGCAGTATAATTTATCTGTAAGTAATTTCAAACAGTATTCTTAATTTGTGTAATGGGTAACGATTCAAATTATGCCAAATATTTTTCTTTGGTAAAATGAAAGAAGTCATGTGGGTCTTTTTCTTATAAAAGTAACTCAAGGATTATATACCCAGGAATAAAAATACTATTACACCGTCTTCTTACTTACCTTACCCACATGGCTACATTCCAAAAACCAGGTCATCAAGAAAGAATTGCCATTATGTGAAAATGATGAATAACCACATCAAATTCATATATGGAGGATGACTACATCATTACATAACTGCCAAATCAAATCATTACATAACTTTCAAATAACTCTATTACATAACTGCCAAACCGCTGAGAATCATGGTCCAGCCAAGTTGACACGTAAACTACCCAGCCATCAGTGTTACTCTCACCTATCACCTTGACATTTATCCTTACTCGAGATACGTTGTTAATGCAGAAAAATAGTTGGATAGTAGAGTTTTTACTATTGATGTAAATGTGAAATGTCAGATAATTTGATAGTTGCTAGGTGAGGTGAGGGTATAGTTAAGTTACTGTTTATAATCCTGGTGTTAATTTTGGTTTGATTTTGACTATGAGTACTTGACTAGATCCCATCTTGTCTTGGGTACAGTTGAGTGACTGAGCTAGAGAACTTGGTGCAGTTCTCTACAATGAAGGATTAAAGCAGATAGTTAGTTTCTGACCCAATACCCCTGAGGGATATCTGCAAGCTCCCTGGAAGAGCATATACTCACTACAACAGATATTCTCACTGGCTGGGGCTACAGAATCCGGGAGTAGGTGTTGAGGAATATAATTTAAAGATGCCTGTATGTTGATTCTGATTCCTCTGCCCTATCCTACCTGTGTTCTAGGAAGATCACTGCAGTCAAAGGTGTCCAACATATTTTCAGTGTTAACTTTTTTTTATGACAAAATGAAATTATGGAGAAATTTTTGTGTTAAGGAGGTGGTGTCTCAGTAAGTACTAAAAAAATTGATGTTTATAAAATTTTATATAGTATTTTTGGGGCAGGTTTTAAGAAATAGCTGTCTATCTTTCTTGAGAAAGGATGCAAAACATTTAATGACAAATAAAATCCTACTTAACAGATTCCAGATAGAAAATTCCAAGTGAGTAAGAACCTAAAATACTCAATTATAAACTTAGTATCCACTTAGACTCTCAACAACAGCATAACTATTTCACAAGCTCTTTAAATTCCTCTTTTGCAGACAAGGAAAAATTGTCTAGAACGAGGGTATGCAAACTTTTTCATAAAAGGCCTAATACTAAATAGTTTCAGTGTTGCAGTCTAAGAGTAAAAATATTAACGTATTATTTCATTTTAATATTACTAATAGTAATAACCCACGATATGCAGATGACACAGCCTTGTTTGCTGGATGTAAAAAGAACATGAAATACAGATGAAGATCAAAGACTGGAGTCTTCAATATGGATTATACCTCAAAGTAAAAAAAAAACAACAACAAGAAACCTTCACAAGTGTACCAATCAATAGCATCATAATAAATGGAGAAAAGATTAAAGTTGTTTAAGATTTCATTTTGCTTGGCTCTACAATCAATGCTCATGGAAGTAGCTGCCAAAAATCAAATGACGTATTAATAGCATTAGGCAAATCTGCTGTAAAAGAGCTCTTTATGATGTTAAAGAACAAAAATCACTTTGATGAGTAAGGTGTACCTGAGCCCAGACATGATCTTTTCGATAATATCATATGCATATGAAAATTGGACAGTGAATAAGGAGGACCATAGAAGAACCAATGCATTTGAATTATGGTGTTAGTAAAGAGAATTGGAAAGAACCATAGACTGCCAGAGCATAAATAAATCTATCTTGGAAGAAGTACAGCCAGAGTGCTTCTTAGAAGTCAGAATGGTGAGACTGTCTCTTATACTTTGGACATGTTGTTAGGAGGGACCAGTCCCTGGAAAAGGACATCATGGTTGGAAAAGTGGAGGGTCATTGAAAACAAGGAAGACCCCCCAATGAGATGGATGGATTGATAAAGTGGCATCAACAGTAGCCTCAAACATAACAAAATTTGTTAGGATGGCTCAGGACCTGGCAGTGTTTCATTTTGT